TGACTCTTCCTGACCGAATACTTAAGGTACATCAGATGAAGTTTCTTCATCCTTGCCTCTAGGGGCACCTGACTGCATTGTCTCCAAGACAGACCTGTTTGTTCTTTTGGCAATTCTGCCCAAATGCCAAGTCCTGTGCCAACAGCCCGGATAGTTTGGTAGGCTCCTTATGCCCATTTGTTCAGGTGAGGGCACAGAGAGTTAAGTACTCATGCTCAGGGAACCTGATCAGTGAGTGTCCAAGTGTGGCCCTAATGTTCTGGGATTTACTGTGCTGCCTACAGACCCCAAAACCAAAGATGAGATGGTCCAGCAGCTGGCCTACAGCTCATCAACACCAGCATCACCTGTGCATTTGTTAAATCTGCAGAATCCCAGTCCTTGGCCTTGGCCTACAGATTAAAAACCTGAATTTTATCAAGATCCCCAGGTGACTTACGGGCATGTGAAATTCTGGGACACTTGGACATGTGGCTCTTCATACCAGTTCTCCAAGAAACCTGTGTGTGACTGAGAACTGAGGCCAGTAAGTGAAAGGCAGGGACTGAGACACAGAGACCCAGGAGCTGATGGCTAGACCCTGAGGACAGAAGGGAAGTGGTCCCCAAATCATCTCCCACCTTGAAGTTAACCCAGCCCTCTTTGTAGTCATCCAGGTAATGCAGACCTCAAGACATACGAGTCAATGCGTGTTCCCATTGGGCCAGGCAACCTGTGTCCCCATCCTAGAGCTCCCTGGAAGGATGGCGAAAGGGGTCACAGGCCAGTCTAGCTTTAGTTCAAGAGCTGAGACTCTGGAGAATTCCCAGACCCTCTCAGAAAAAAAGTTCAAGCGGAACAAGCTGTACTTTGGCTCCAGTAATTCCACACCTTGATATGACTCTGGTGGTTGTTACAGCTTTCAGAGGCTGTAACTCACATGGGAGGAGATTGCTCATCTTTCTTCCACAGAACAGCTAGTGGATTCAAATCCCATACCCTTGCATTGATAGCGCAATTCTTTACCACTAAGCCACCAGAGCTCCTGGTGTTTTCCCTAAATGAATCCTGGGGAGGGAAAATATTAAAGGCCAACAAGAGATTTAGTGTTTCCTTTTACTGGTAATTTATTTCCAGTGATAGCCAAGATTACACTTAAAAGGGGTGTCAGGGGAAGCTTTTTAAGTAAAAAATAAAGTATGGGGTCCTGGGTTTGAATGCTTCCTATGCATGAGGCATTGAGGGGTGTCAGTCCTCACAACCACTGTACAACCCAAAACCTCACTGCTAAAAAAAAATTCAAACAAACAAAACACCTCACTGCTGTTGTGTTAACTCACAGCGACCCTACAGGGCAGAGAAGATCAGCCCCCAAGGGAGTCCAGGGCCACAAACCCTTACAGAAGCAGACTGCCTCATTTTTCTCCTGTGGAGCAGCTGGTGAATCTGAACTGTCGACTGCAGCCCAGTGCTTAACCCACTGCACCACCCAGGCCCCTACATCACTCCATGAGGTTGGATTACTCCACAGATACTTCACAGCTGAGGAAACTGGACCCCAGAGAAGACACCCAGCCCCAGGTCTCAGCAGAACAACTGTCTTAAGTAAGTACCGAACTGCACAGGGCTGAGAGGTCCTGGAAGTACTGTGGGGACTGAGCTGATGCATCCTAAAAGAGAGATATTTTGAAGCTGAAGCCCCCGAAAGAATCCTGCCTGTCCTTGGGGGATGGTGGGGGCAGGATTCTTAGATGCATGCTTCTTACAGCTCAAGGACCCCAGCAGAGTCCCACAGTTGAACACCCATCAGGGTGGATTGTGTGTTTGGGGGCCATCTCCCCACGGGTCCCTGTGGAGCAGGCAGGGGGCTCCTCACACCTTTGCAGAAAGCATCCTCCCATGTCACACAACATCTGCAGTGCCAGCAGGCACATGGGCAGGGAGCTATTACAGAAGGAGGAAACCCAGACAGCTAATCAGCTTTGGAGGTTTCTAGGGGCATCAGCCCGTGAAGTGAGAAAAGGGGCTCTAGTCGCATGGTTGCTGGGCATCAGAGCATTTCCCCATGGGCACAAGGCCTTATGGAGGAGAGAGGTGGTGTCCTGGGAGGCAAAACTCCCAGCTGTCCCTAGGATTAACCAAGCGGACCCCACCCACCAGCCCCTCCCCCAGCCACAACCCAGAACTCAATTTCTTATACTGTTGGGAAGAGTTGCAGGAAAACAAACATCTTGAAGGCATTATCATTTATAGAAAATTACATTTACAATTAACTGTATAAAGGCACGTGGGGGTTTATCTCTCGGGGTTCTAGGCTGGCTATGTGGAGGCCACACCAGGAACCCTTTATTCCTCACAGGCCAGGCAGGGCATGGGGACTCTCTCCCCAAGAACTCACATTTCTCCCATCCACAAATCTTCCTCAGTGCCCAGCCCTGGTCCACGCTTCTCTTCCTCCACAGCCAGCCATCTGCTCCCTGCTGCCCCAGCCTTCCACCACAGTGCCGAGAGGGCTGGCGGGTGAGGGTGGCTGAGCCAGAAGCGATTTGGTCTCGAAGTCCAGGGCTGCCTCCCAGCGAGCTCCATATGGAGGCCTGGATCAGCCTTCCTTAGAACAAAGGGGCATCTTAAATCCATCGAGAGGGTTCCTGCCTCAAAACGATTCATCACTCACCAGCCGTTCAGAGCGCTGGCGCAAATGCCCACAGAGCCAGGGAGAAACTCAATTGATCAGACATGGGAGGGCAGCGTGCCATAGAAGTTAAGAGGGAGAGTGTGGGGTTCACATCACCCCAAATAGCCTCAAAGTAGCCTTGTAAGTACTGCTCCTCCATGCCCAGAAATACAGATTTATGGACTGGAGGACATGTTCCACGTGCCAAAACTCCTGCGCTTTCTCAAAAGCAGGAGTCCTCAGCCATATCTCTCCACCTTTCCCAGCCTGCCACCTCTGTCTGCTATACAAGCATAATTTTGATTTATGCAACCTACACCCACAAGCATGCAGAGACGTTAAAAAAAAATCCCAAACAAACAAACAAAAACCTATCCCAGCAGCAGAATTTTTTTCAGGGCAGGGCAGTAAAAGCACGGCTGTCATTTTTACCCCTGTAACCACTGGTGGTCAATCAGCACAAGGAAACCACAATTCTAGAATTCAAACACCTTGCTTGGCTTATCCTCTCCTATTCATAAACACATTCATATGAAGAGGAGTGGGTGTGATGCCACCATTAAGAGAAATTCTAATTTGTCTGTAATTTTTGTTAAGTTGAAAGCAAAGAAATTTTTAGAAAAGATACATCTCAAAGAAACTCAGATCAATTTCTAGAAATAAAGGAATATAATTATTTATTTTTTTCTTTAAAAAAATGTTTATTCATTCTTTGTTGCACGTTTGCCTCCCTCTCCCACTCCTCCCCACTCTGCAATGCCTCCCTTGTTCCAGGCTGCTGTCATACGTATAGTGCCTGATCATATATTCCTCTGGACAGTGCCTCCCCTCATCTGTTCTATTGCAGTGTTCATTATCTATCAACTATTTTCCCCATTCTTTCCCCAAACCCTCATATTAGCCCTATTTTATAACAACAGTATTATGCAGTATTTGTTCTTTTGTGACAAGACCTATTTTTTTTCTTCTTGTTGTGCACCGTCAAATCAGATCTGACTGGTACAGGAGGAGAGATTGCCCCTCCTTCTCCAGCAGAGCGTCTGGTGGATTTGAACCATGCACTTCTGAGACTGTGGCACAGCTTCTTGCCACTAGGCCACCAGAGCTCTCTCCACTTATTTTTTAAAGTAAATTGTTGACAAGCTGCAGAATTTTGTTGCTATCACTGGTATATATTTAAAACAAAACAAAACAAAAACATAGTTGCTAATGGAGTGAATTTCACCTTATTTCAACCTATGTGTATCATAGTAGAATTTGTTCCATAGGGTTTCCAGCGGTTGATTTTTTTAAGTAGATTATCAGATCTTCTTTTTCCAAGGCTCCTTTGGATGGATTAAAACCTTTAGCATTCTGGTTCGCAGCCAAGAACATTAACTGCACCATGCAAGGACTCTATTACTGCTATTGTTTTTATTATGTGCCATTGAGCTGGCTACAACTCACAGTGATCCTATGAACAAGGGCTCTGAACTCTGCCTTATTCTAAGAACCTCACCAACTCCAATAGCTGACCTCATTGCCACAGTCACTATGTCAATCCCTCTCTTCCAGGGTCTTCCTTCCAAGTATGACATCTTTCTCCAAATTCCGATCCCTCCTGACAACATGTCAAAAGTATGAGAGAGAGGAGTTTCAAAAATCCTTGCCTCCAAAGAACAAGCCAGTTTCATCCTCTCTAGGACAAGGTTTTATTCTACTCAAGGATTAAGTTTGAAGGTCAGCATATAAAGTAAAAATTACATGTGGACAAAATGACTCTTCAAGGGAGCTCTATTGGCCTAGTGGCAAGAAAGCTGCACTGCAATCCCAGAGGTACGTGGTTCGAATCCACCAGATGCTTTGCTGGAAAAGGAAGGACAATCTCCTCTTCTGCCTGTCAGATCTGATTTGACGGCATACACACACAAAAATAATAAAAATTTTAAAAAAGAAGTTTGAAAAATCACCCTTCAAAGATGTCTTAAGTCAGCCATAAAATATGACAATTCTTAAACAGAAGAACTCCACTCAGTGGGCTAGGATGTTTACAATCTGACAGACATATAGAATGCTGGACACAGTGGCTCAGAGGTGGGTGAAGCCTGCCGCCATGCTCAGTCCTATGGCTCTCCTTCTTTCCTCACCTCCAAGAGTGGCTACATTCTTGTCCAGCCATATTTAGTTAAATAAGCATGTAATAGAATCCCGTCACTACAAATCACAGTTACGCACCTCTCCATGGACCAGGGCTGGAGAAACTAATTCCCTGGAGACTGTTCCTCCTTTCCCCATATCCTAGAGACCCAAATGCCCCTAGCTCACCAACGTGGCTTGCACAGCGGGAAAATGAGAGAGGTCCACTTACTTGCAGCCTGGATGCGAGCCTTGCGGCTGATCACCAGCCCAAAGCGGTTCTGAGCCACACACTCGTAGTCTCCCTCATCGGAAGGGCTGCCTCCTCGATCCAGCCGGAAGTGACTGATCATCAAGGACCCATTGGCCAGCAGAGTGGAGTGGGTGCTCTCTGGCAACTCCACCCCATTCTTCCTCCAGGTGATTCGCACCGGAGGGGTCCCCTCTACCTCACAGCCCAGCACTACAGGTTGCCCAGGGACTGCAACATCATCACTTGGCTCCAGAGCAAATGCTAGTTCAGCAGAGTGGCCAAGACCTGCAGTGGGGTAGGGGAGATGGGAGGAAAAAGGCATGTTAAGTACAAACTGGGCAACTAAGAAGAGCTCTACACACATTGAGGTTCCAAGTTCCCCGAATCAGTGTCCATCTTTCTATAATGTTCACTGAAATAAAACACAGCAAATAAAACCATGACAACTCCACATGCACAGAGTGAAATGTGCTCCACAGGAGATTTAAGGGCTGACTTTTCAGAAGTAGATAGTTGATCTTTCTTCTGAGGACCTTCTGGATGAATTAAACTCTCCAATTTTTTGGATAAGAGCTAAGCACATTAACAGTACCACCCGAAGAATCCAAAAGTTAATTGGAATTTCCATTATATAGAACTTCATGCATTACAAAATGCTGTATTTAGGGAGCTCTGGTAGCCTAGTAGCAAGAAGGTGCTCTGCAATCACGAAGGCATGTAGTTCGAAGCCACCAGCTGTTTTGCCGGAGACTGATGGGCAATCTCCTCCCATGTGATTAACTGCTTCTGAAAACCTGCCAGACTGTCAGCTATGGGTCAGTTCGGACTGGACAGTACACAACGACAACAAATGTTATTTAGTCATCATCTCATCTCAGAAAACAGATGCTATCTTTACCAGTCTATCTTTCACCCATAAATAAAACCCAGAGATACTGTCATTTGTCGAGAGTCTCACAATTAGTTGCAGACCTTAAACTCAAAATTAAAACTCACTGCCATCGAGCCAGAATTGATTTATAAAGAGAGAATCCAAGACACAGTGACTAATAGCTGACCCACCACTGGGTTTCCAAAGCTGTAAATCACAAAGGAGGAGATTGCTCATTTTTCTCTTGAGTGTATGATGAGAGAGCCTTGTGGGTTGTTTTTATATGGCATTAAGTCCCCTGCAACTCATAACAGCCCTATACAACAGCTCTGAAGCCTGCCCTGCCCTGAGCCAATCTCACTGACTCCAACACACTTACTTCCATTGCCCCAGTTATTGTATCAAACCATCTCATCTGGGGTCTTTCCTGCCCTGTCCCTTCACCCTTCCAAGCATGATGTCCTTCTCCAAAGACCGGTCCCTCCTGGCCACATGCCCGAAGTATGTGAATTAGAAGAGCAAATCCCTACTGACTACACCACCAGAGCTCCCTGGCTATATAAATGTGGGACTCCCTCAAAGCAAGACTGATTTAAACATAATTGCTGCCGCTTCCATGGTCACTCTAGATTGGCAGTGAAGTCTCACAGACTTTCAGGTTGGGACCTCTCAAGTATTCCACTCTCCCTGGCTCCTTTTTGCTCAAGAGCGCAGCTAGTGTCATAGGGTTGTTGAACATAGTTAATAGACCCAACATGCTGCTGTCAAGTCGATTCCAACTCTTGGCAATCCTCCATCGGGTTTCCCGGGCTATGAATATTTACAGGAGGAAGCAACTTCATGTTTCCCTCATGAAGAGGCTGCTCATCTTTCTCCCAGAGTGGCTGGTGGTTCTGAACTGAATTGTCAACCTTCTAGTTAGCAGCCCAGCCCGTAACTCACTATGCCACCAGGACTCCTTGAACAGACTCAAAGGCACTCTGATAAACTCAAAGTTCCAAACAAATACAAAGCAAGACAGTAAGGAATTTTTATTTCTTTGGGCTGGCAAGATCATCCAAGCCCCGGCTCCATGACGGATTATCTAGGACCCACTGGCCAGCACAGTGGAGTGGGTGCTCCCTAGCAATTTCACCCCATTCTTCCTCCAGGTAAGCAGGGAGCCGGGTGTGTGGACCCAGTACCCTAGGCAAGGCAGGCCAGACCACAGGTGCACTGCCCCTACGCAGGCAGGAGGCTCTAAATATGTGTCTTCTTTTGCCTTTGATGAGAGAGGGAGTTACAAAATGCTAACTCAGAGTTCCCAATACTTAAGATGAACAGAGGTTTCTAGAACCTCAGCTCCCTCACTGTCCTGATGAAGAAACCAACTGGAAAAGGAAATGCAGGGGAAGAGAGAAGTTGGCAAGAGAAATGGTGAGAGTATCAGAAGACAGAAAGAAGGGACAAGCAAGCACGTCTACCCAGGCACGAAGCCAAGCTGCCAATTTCTCCAGTAAGCAACTTACCTGACCTGTTATAACTTCACTCCTGGAGGAATGAGTCCACCACCTGCCTGAAGGGACAGTAGACCCCTAAACACATTAAGCACAAACTAGCAACTCCAGGGCTGGCCCCTCCCCAACAGACGAGCGCCATCCGGTGGCTGGGAAAGAGGACGGTCATGGGATGGGGTGGATGGGTGGGACGAGGATGCGAATAAAGGACTATGAGCAGTTATACTAGCGTGGTGGAAAGAGGGAATGTACTGAGTTAAAAAAAAAAATCAAACAAGCAACAAAAAACCAAAAACCACCCAAACTTCACGTTAAGGGGTTCAGGGATTCTCTCTTTTTCTTCACAGTGATGTAATATTTTAAGGCACTAGAGGCTAGTAGGCTGGCCACGCGCTCGGCCACTGCGCCACCAGGATTCCTTCCTGGAGGATTACATCTCTATTCCTCATATCCTGTATTTTAGCCGCCTCAGTCAACAATCCTACACCCGCATATCTTCTGGGGGGATAAAGTTTTTCCTTAGTGTGGGCGTGCTATTTTGCTTCTTGGGAAGAGAGCCCAGGTGAAGGTCTGCAGGAAACTTGGAGTAGGAGGAGGGAGAATTAATTGGCACACGCCCCCTGATGGGCCTGTTAGAGCCCCAAGGATACAGGGGTAATGAAGCCAAGCGCTGGAGCTCTAGGAGCCAAGCGTGCGGACCCCCAAGCCCTGCTGCGCTCCGGGCCAGGGTGGGGGCAAGCGGGCACTAGGCGGCTCCAGGCTGGCTGGCCGTCCCGCTTCGGTCACTCCCTCCGCACACACCGCCCGCCCGGAATTTTCCTCGCTCTTCCCCATCTAGCTCCAAATCCTAGACTTGCCCTCTTGGCCACGCGCATTTGGCGCGGGTCTCGCGCCCCTCTCAGTTCCGGCCTCCGCCGCCCTCCTGCCTCTACGGCCACCGGGCGTCCACCTCACGCCCCACGAATCCCGACAGTCCTGGAACGCGGCTCAGCCCTCAAGTCTCCCTGGCTCTCTGTCCCATCTCCCCAGAATCCGCCGGGCACCCCACACATCGTGCTTCGGGGTGGTACGTGCGCCTGGGTCCGAGTCCCGGTTCAGTCCTGAGTTCGAGTTCTCTCTCTGCCCCGCTCGGCTCCTCTTCCCGGACAAGCCCTCCCGCCCAGGGTCCCCGCAGCTCCGCGCGGCTCTCCCCAAATCCGCCCCTCGCGCCCGCGGACTCCATCCTCGCCCCGCAGGGGCCGGGGCAGCAACGGGCCGTGGTCGCTCACGCTCACCGTCGCTCGGCGCGGGCAGCAGCAGGAGCAGCAGCAGTGGTGGTAGCCAGAGGGGCATATTTGATAGTACTAGTATAGGGGTTAGGAGTGATGATTTTGGTGAGGGTGTGTTAAGTCAGTTTAG